CCCCTGAATTACACCGCGAAAATGGGAACGTCCGAGCAAGAGACGATGCGTAAAAAGATCTACGAATTGCTGTTCATCCAATTGGTCCAGTTCATGCAGCATGCCCACTTGAACTTACGCGGGAACATAGACGAACTTCGGGACCGCTACTTCCGGTCAGAGGTCCGCCGCGTTTTCGGCCCAGAAGCCGCCCCATGGGACCCGATTAACGATATGGCCGATGATTGCCTCCCGGCAAGACTACCACGATACCCCTCGAACCCAATCTCGTATACCCCTTTTCCCGATTTTTCCCTAAGGTCCTCGCTTCATGCCGAACCCGCTCTATCCCATACTAACCCTTTTCAGCCCTCACATGGCGTCTCCCATAATACGAGTTTAGCAGTAGTAGCCGATAGCTCTCAACCCCCCTCGCCCCTTTCACCAACCCCAAAGCACCATAAAGCCCTTCCTAAACCAGACACCCCTCCTACCACATCCCGATGGCCCCGGGAGGCACTTCCCGGGCCGAGTATCCCCTCCACCCCACCTATCTCATTCCGGAAACAATGCCACAAAACTCCTCATTCCACCCAACCCCAATCGTCCACCCCATCCCGTACCCCTAACAGCCCTCCTACGTTTCCACCTTTTCAACCCACCTCCGGTTCCCACCAACGCAGTCCCTCTCCCGATATCCCAACCCGCTACTGTTTCTTTTCCGGCAAGTGCTATAACTGTGGCCAGCGGGGACACTGGCGGGCGCATTGCAAAAAAAAACAAACGCATTATTATTGTTACAGATGTGGCAAACCTGACCATTTAGCACCGAACTGCCCGAAATGAGGAAACAGGAGGTGAGGTCGGCGGAAAGGGTTGACGCAACCTGCTCGGAAACGCCGATCCCACTTCCCGGATCCCGCGCACATATATTCCCCGTCCTTATGGCCCTCCGAATCCCCACGCTCCCGTTCCTCCAATAGACCCGAACGCCCTCTTCCCTAATCTCCCCTCAGTAAACCCCTTGCCCTGATCCCGCTCCCCGCTCCAACCACGACGGACAGACACGGACGCCGCCTTACACAATAGAGGCCGATTTTTGTACAATGACGAGACAGTCCGCCCCGCAACTGACCGGCAGACCCGACTGTGACCCCCCCCCCCCCGTTACATCGCTTGGCTTTCACTCTATTACCACGCCTGTACCCACATCACGCCTTTCCCAAGCACGGGTATCGGGCCGATAAGGACCAGAGTGAAAATCAAGAGTGAAGAAGAGCTGCAGAGACTGGCGAAGACAGGTTATTGTTAATAATGAGCCTTGTGGGGTTTAGAACTCGCTCTGCTGTTCCGAAGCTTCTGCTTATACCGGCGGTGTTAAAGGGCGCTTTTGCGCTACTATCAATCCACTTTCGGCGTCACCTCCGTACCAATGGGTGACGGGCCGGAACAATTCCACTCATGGCAAGCCAATCATCGTACGGGTACGGAAGACCCAACACCAGACTCTTCGTCGGCGTGTAAGGAGTTTTGCTCTAAGACGCATTTACTTTATCAAGCTAACCTGAGTGGTTCCCAGCCACAGCCACCAGGCGCTTAACGTCCACAGCCAGAGCCCCGTTTGCCATCGGTAAACCGGTGCCGGGACCACACCACGAGAAGGAGGGGTTGGCACATGTCACCGCTGGGGCTGGCTGTAAGGCTCCGAACGGCATCTTTGTGGTCCAATCGGCAAAGACACCGGAGTGCCACTGGGAGGACGTCCCGCGACCAGCGGAGTCCGGCCAAAAGACGTCCCCAAACGCCCCAGTGGAGCTATCTGCTCGCCAAGCCCGTGGACTCTCACCCAGTAGCCAACACCAAAAAGCCTTTACCAGCCCTATCGATCCCGATCACCGGTCAATCCCCATTCAATATCGATCCCTCGCCCAATTAGCCCCTGACCCGACCAGAAGACCCAATCCCCGACCTGTATCCCCTCCCCAAAATTCCCTGCCACAGGCTTGCTGCGACAACGACGAGCATTCAATTAGATTTTGTTAGCGAGCGAATATAGAGTATCGAGAGTGCAAGAGTGAGTGTAAGAGCATATCCTGCGATACCGGTAAGCCCTTAACATTATTAATTATAACTATGAGTTCAGTAACGGTCATCTCTCGCGTATCGTTTCTTGTAAATCGCGATAACGCGCTACCTCTTTTTCGATCCCTAAAGATCCATCTGCCCCGAGATTTCCATCCGTAGCATTCCCAACCTTTGCGGACTCCCCCGCGTAACCTGTGACAGCCGGCCACAGATGACTGGTACGGCACAGTTCGGCGATCGGCTGAATCTGCCCACCTGGCTAGCCGTGCAGCTAGTGACGCGTGTTTACGGTCACTCTGTCCCGATTGCGGGACCCTTCCTGTAATCAGGAAGTACTGTCGCATGAACCTGTGACGACGGCGAGGCGCCATTCAATTGCGATTTAGGGTAAAAGAGCTCTCATTGCGTTCGTTATTTTAAGTTTTGAATGATCATTCGAATGATTATTTGTATCTCTAGTTTGCCTAAGTTTCTACATTTAAATACTTGTTGCCTTTTTTCAATTCCTGGTATTCATTTAATCTAATTTTCTTTTATTGGGACCAGGCTTTTTCCCCACTTTCGACTGGGGTTTTTTACAGCCGGTACCCGTAGAATAGAGTCATTTGTTTTTCAATATAATAAATTAATTTTTCTTTTGCTTTTTCATTTCAATTCATATGTTCAATTTATTTATTACCGGTGACGCCAATTCCACCTCATATTCTATCCTTTCGATACTCCAGTTATTCGGAACAGTGTGTGTTCACCGATTACTCTGAGATGGATGGACTAATCGGAACGAAACCTTTTGCATCTTGTAGGGTGTCTTCCAGTTGGTCCCATTAAAGAAAAATTTTGCATTTTTTCATTGTTATTGCAAAATACAAGAAGTTGTTAATCTCAACATAGGACGATTTTAATGACCCTTTAATATGTTGTCGCTGGGCATGATTCTGAACAACTTTTTCATTATGCATAATTAACGGAAAGCTTTAGTTTCCGAGATATTCGTGAAAAACTATTGTTACTACTACATTGAATTCTACGATGCCTACGTGTCTACCGGTGCATGAGTCAGCATGCAATCGCTGATTCACTACTGTTTCTTGTATACATGTATACTCTCCAAGACATGTACCGATTGCGATGAAACCTTTCACATCTAATAGGAGATATTTCCGCGATATCTCACTTGCAAAAATTTATGCAATTTGTTATTGTTAATAACTATTGTTATAACTTGTATGGAATACGATTCTCTACTGTTTCTATACATACTTTGCAAGGCATGTACATACATACATACATACCGATCGCGATGAAACCTTTCGCATTTAATAGGAGATATTTCTACGATATCTCACCTGCAAAAATTTATGCAATTTGTTATTGTTAATACGTATTGTTATTGTAATTAACCAATAAGAACGATAAACCACCTTACGGCATCCTACATGTAAACACCCCATTAGGCTTAGAGACAGTCCAGACCCTTGCAGAGACAAGACGAGTCAAGGGCCTCCGATTCGGCCCACCCCGACACGGACTTTTCTTCGACGACGCACTCGTTCGAAGCAGTTCGAAGCAGTTCGAACCAAAAAGCCTTAGAAGCCGAACGTCAAAATATAATATAGTATTTCTAGGCAGATTACGGTATGTGTTTATTTCACCATACCCCTCCTACATACAAATACAGTAAAAGCTGGATATATGCAATAAACATTGGGGCCCAGACGTTGCATATATCCAGTCGAGGTGTCTAATCTCGGGTTACACGCGACGACCAGCCAAGCGTGAACGTAGAATAGGACAGACAGTGGTGGAAAGAGAGAGGTCCGATGATCAAAGGAAAGAGCCGAAACGTATTGGTGTGACTAAACTAATTCAACTATAAAATTTTTTTATTTTTGACTTTTTGTTACTGAAATTTTTACTAGCGCGTTGGTGAAATTTTTCTGATTAAGATGATACCAAACACGATATAGTTTGAATTATAATTACTTGCTAAAATTGATGTTAAAAGTTGACGAAAAGCAAAGGAGGATTGGAAATGAAAACCGGTTGCGGTGTCGGTTCGGGTTTAAAACGTTGCATATATCCAGCCGAGGTGTCGATTCTGGGCATTTAATGTTGCATATATCCAGCCGAGGTGTCGATTCTGGGCATTTAAACGTTGCATATATCCAGTCTTGGTGTCGATTCTGCGTCCGTACAAATCGTTTGTACCGTGCCGTGATACCTATTCTACGTTCGTACAAATCGTTTGTACCGTGCCGCGATACCTATTCTACGTTCGTACACAACTTGCGACGTGTTGCATGTTGCATGTTGCGTGTTTGATGTATCTTTGGTGTCACACCGATATTACGGTCGGATCATATTACACGGTTTCCTCGCCGAGCGGCTCGGTTCGGCTTAGGGGGATCCACCCAAGTGGAGGGGATAGCGATGTTGCATATATCCAGCCAAACTTTTGTTGCATATATCCAGCTTTTACTGTACTGCTCGTTCTACTAAAAAGTATGAAATAGAATAATTTTTAACAAAAAATACAACCGACTTCGAAATGCACTAAAAAATATAAAATAATTTCTACTTCATTTATACAAATACCCAACAGCTATTAATAAAACCTATTTACTTGTTAAATAGTATACTAAATACATTTCAGCCTTTTCGGAGACGGCGCAAAATGAAAAATACCCAAATATACGATGTTGCCAATAACGATTTGATAGGACGTCTGAACTAGGATCTTCCTAGTAGAAGAAAAGTTTTTAATTTTGCGCCGCCTCCAGAAAGATTGAAATGTATTTAGTATACTATTTAACGAGTAAATAGGTTTTATTATTAATAGCTATTGGGTATTTGTATAAATAAAATAGAAATTATTTCATTAGGAAATAGAAATTATTTCATACTTTTTAGTGCATTTCGAATTAGGTTGTATTGTCTGTTGAAAATTATTTTATTTCAATCGCCACAACAAGTGGCTGGCGCTCACCGACATTATAATTGTATTGTATACATAGAGTACACCCCGTTAAAAGGGTCACAATGTACACATGTATATTGTATAGGCATACGGATGACTATTTTTATGAGATACGCATTTATTAATCATAACAAAATCATCTAAAATTTGCAATAGTAATCTCAATTACATTAGTATGCATTACAATGTGACATTGTTAGGAAGTAATTTGTTGCTTGGAAATTAATATACGTTAAGAACAAAATTGATATAAAAATTACAGAAGTAGTAGACATTAAATTCGAGAAGGCTACCAGTTTCTTTACTTTTATGCATGTATATGATCGCTATCGGACCTGGATGATTTCGTCAAATTTAATAATTGATATCGTTTCATTTCGAATGAAAATTAAATACCCTTGGCGTGTGTACTTTTCGTTAGTGAATTTATTTATCCCAATCATGATACAAGAAATGTAATATTAGTAGCATGAAGACTGAATTTACGGAACATAAGTTTCACAGAAATGGTATTCTGTAAAGAAATTTTGGAAGCAAAATGATTTTTTACACCACGCACAGGTAATAATAGCAGAATTTCCACAAATGTCACATATTGGTGCTGAATTTGCACCGAAACAAAAATCTACTGGATTGTCAAAATGAGGAGGTCTGTTTTCTATATAGCCGCTCTTAAACCACGCGTATTTGAAAAGATCTGTAAATCTTGGGGAAGAGAACTGATTGTGTGTCAGAGATTGAAGCTTAATAATATTGTTTCTTAAATGAAGATTAACATTGTAATCGTAAAGTATAACAATGTCCGAGAAACGTTTAACAAAATTTTTCCAAACTCGAAATCCGTAAACATCTAGTGGCTGAATTCTTCCCGTTGTGCCTTTCGGTATGATAAGGTGCTTTAATTCTTTATCATGTGGCGTAGCCTCTGAAACCGTTTTAGAACACTGACCTCCCCAGGAGTCTAACAATAAAACACTTGACGATCCGACGTTAGGAAAAAACACATCCTTCAGCCAAGTTTTCAGATGGGCTGATGTTAGTTTCCCAGACGTGGAAGCCAGTATAAAAACATTTTTCGGCCTAAACATAGTTTCTTGAACCCTCAGTCCAAACTCTCCGCCAACTTCCTTAAGTACAATTAAAAGAGGAGAAAGGAGTTTGCCAGCCGCGGATATCGTAGGTTGAATCGTATAGCTCTGAGTTGTCGATGACACAGACTGAACTACACTTTCCACCTTTTTTGACCCTCGGTAAGCCAACGTTCTACCAGAGTGATGTTCGAGGTTGAATCCACTCTGATCGGAATTAAAGACATTTTCGGGTCCGTTTGCTGTTAGGCGCGACTTCACTTCATTGATGAAAACTTCAGATTGTACACTTTCCACGTTTCTCGAATAAATTTCATGTTTCGTAACAAATTTGGTAACCTTACGGGATACAATTCCGTGCATTCTTTTAAACTTCCATACCCAACTGGAAGAGGCGACAAAACCCTTAAGATTAACCATTCTCTTTGCGTTTAAAGCCCAACGTTGTAGGTCTACATCGTGAACTATTAACTGTTTGTCCATAGCCTCTATAAAGTTTTGCAATGTATGATCACTTATACGCAGTAATTTATCTTTGCGTGATCCACCTTTACGTACTTGATCCATCCAGCGCCGTAGTTGTCGCTCTGAAGTAACTTTTCTAAAACGATGTTTTACCGATGTTATTGACAGTTTACCTGTCTTCCCACTTGTCCAATATTCAACGGCATCCTTTTTATATTTGAAATCAATTTCGTCTTCATTCTGTGAACATACAGTGGTTGTCGGCGCTGCATACTCTTTATCTTCTGTATCCTGATCTTCAACGATATGAGCATTATGAACACTAAAATGTTTCTCGAAGTCTAACTGATTGAACTGTTCCCATTCAAATGAATTATCTTCCATAGCTTTACGAAGAATCTCTGATAAATTCTCTTTTAATTGAATTTACGCATCAGTGATCAAACTTTCCAGCCAATAATTGATGCAAAAGGTATCAAGCAGAAGATTAATAACATTAATCGGATTAATATTCACCATTACGTGGTTGGATTGCTAGTAAATGACAGTACAACGAATCCCGCGCTCTTTTTATACTCTGATAAAAAGTACAAAATAAGAATATTATTGCACGCAGATAACGTTTTATGGTAAACATTTTGTAACCCTGTGCACCCGGTATCACAATTATCAGGCTGAACTTCATTAATATGCTTTATGATCACAGATAAATAAAATTTATTCAGCACAAAGTGTCTGTGTGCAAAAGAGTAAGATTAAAATGTCGTTCTGAAATTCAATCGTATTACCACGAATTGATATTTACAAAACACTCCAATTATTATTTGTTATTATCAATTATTATTTGTTATTTGCACAGGCATATACTAGCCTGTAAAAATACGTATATTAAGTACATAATGATAATTCTGTTATCTTATCTTGTCTGCGGAATTATATAAAAATTTACAAAACTAAAGAAGGCAAATCTATCGTATTATATATCAATAGATTGAGAAAAAAATTTCGGTTCTTTTTTGTCATTATGTAAATTTTTGTATCTCTTAAAATAATGTAACAATAAATTTTTTTGTTATAAACAAATTACTTTTTACAAAATCTATAACCACTTTTTGTTTTACCTCAAGAAACCATGAAACTTTTCCCTAAGAAATTTGTTATATCTGTGATAGTTTTCGAGAAACCATTTTTCTGCTGAAACTTCTGCTGAAGGATGATTTCACCACCTAAATTTGCGATTAGGCAGCTATAAAAAATACGTGTCCCTCATTTTCACCTGCTTAATATATCCACCGAGTTTCATTGAAATCGGAGACGGACAGTTCGGTATGTTTCCTTGTTAGAGAAAAAAAGTTGCTTAAAATGTTGAATTTTACAACATATTTAACAATTATCAAAATCGGAGGGGGAATCCTTTTTCTACGAGTTCACTGAATCTATATTTATATTATATTATTAGTACTTGTATATTTAAATAAATCAATGTTTGATATGTTATTCTATGTACATTCATGAAATATTTTGCTTTCCTTTCTCTATTAAATGATTACTTGAGAAAACTTAATAACACAGGCAATCAATATACGATTCTTTATTTCTGATACCTTAATATCAATCTCTGATAAGTGCGTTATCAACACTGTTAATGAACAATAATTAATCAACTTTGTGGAAACGTGATATCAGTTTTAACAATCGGTCAAGCTTATCGCTTAATCTGGCAAATAATTCAGAGAAAAGGTCTTCCGTATTTGAGAGGGTTATTCACGCTAGATTGATTGCTTTTTTAACATCAATGTCCAAAACCTTATTTTCAATGAAATATGATGTAGTGCGTGCAAAAAGAAAAGGGAGGAGGGTTACGGTTTTGTTAATTTTAAATTTGTTCAAAAAATACAGTTTTTTTAATTTGGCAATAAAAACGGATTATATAATGTTTATGAATTCCTATCCTGGCAACTATTTATTGAATTGCATTTGTTTTTTTGTTATTTTAATCTAGAGGAATTAGCCTACTATTGATTTTTTAATGTTGAAAATTATTGTCTAGTTTTTGTTATGCAGAATGCCCGCACGTATTGTAGTATGTACTATTAATTAGGGGGTGAATTTATCTATAAAAATAAATCGAAAATTTTTTTATATCTAGCTTTCTTATCAAGAAAATTGTATTTAGAAATGTTTCAAGATATACAGGGTGTTCGGCAACAGGTAAGGCAAGAGATAATTCTGGCGGGTCAAAATAAGACGAAAAATAAGAATGACATAAAATAATTTTTAACAAAAAATACAACCGACTTCGAAATGCACTAAAAAGTATGAAATAATTTCTACTTCATTTATACAAATACCCAACAGCTATTAATAAAACCTATTTACTCGTTAAATCGTATACTAAATACATTTCAACCTTTTCGGAGGTGGCGCAAAATTAAAAACTTTTCTTCTACTAGGAAGATTCTAGTTCAGGCATCGACAACCTATCAAATCATTATTGGCAGCATCGTATATTCGGGTATTTTTAATTTTGCGCCGCCTCCGAAAAGGTTGAAAGGTATTTAGTGTTACGTCCGGATTATTTTCAATAATCCGACCGTGGCTAACATTTATTTTCATCTTCTTTCTGATAGTGTTGAATAGTTTAATCGTTTAATATACTGAATTTGTGTACCTCGTCGTACTTGGAGATAATCCCAGGCGAGGCACACAAAGGAGGCTATAATTAGTTCTTTTCAAACAATAAGAAGTTAACCTTCCTTGGGACGATTGCTTTGTCGAAACCGCGTAGCAATAAACACATAGAAATTCGAAATCGCTAAGGTTAAGGAGAGGTACTATCAACATCTTTTGCCACGCGGTTAAGCAGTGCGACGCACTTGGAAGTTTCCCAGCTTAACCGCGCGGAATAAGGGAAATACGATTTTTGTTTTACCTCGCAAACGAAATACCTCTCCTACCTCCAAAGCATACGTCAGCCGGCCTTTCCACAAGGAATGAATGCAATTAAGTATAAAGCGATTGGTATGCTACGGAATGAAACTGTTTGAATGATTATGAAATGCGAAGGTTTGCGTGACAACCGCTGTAGTTTGAAATTGGCGACCGACGTTCAAGAACGACTAAGGCAATAAACATCGGCAACGAACATCTAGGAAACGTTAAACGTAACACGTTTCAAATATATGTATGTATATCGTTAATAATTAACACGCGAGTCTACTATTAGATAAATGCAACAAATCATATGCATAGATCCGCGATTTAACGATAACAATAAAACACCGATTGCCGTTTTACGCAAACCGCCAAAATACGAATAAGAACGGAATAATTAACAGTATTCAACTAATAGTCATTCGATCCAGTAAATCAAACATCTGTTATAAAACGTAGACCTTCTTCGATACTGGAAATGTCATTGGTAAAAGCCTCTTTGATTAACGAATTCGAATAAATCAAGTCGTAGTAGATTTCGAATATTCCAGAAACTTTAGAATTGCGACGCATGAAATCCGCGTAGCGTTAAAGGGGTAGAAAGAAATGGACAATCTTAGACGAAGGCAGAAAGAAAGGTCAAGAAGGGATGAGAAAACTAGGAAGAGCGGCCAACTAGCCCAATACGCACGAGATTTCCCCTCCGACACGTACCCTGATTTGCCAAATGATGTCCCCACTTTGGGCCCATGATCGCGGGTCGAACCCTGAGACACGATCGCTTGACTGAGGCTGTGTTCGCGTCGAGCAATAGTTTTCGCGTGAAATCGTCGTGATTAGCTGACCGGTAAAGTCCTTGAAAAAGGCAGAGTGCCGGGAGATTGCGGTTCGCGTTTTCCGCGTAAAGGACTCATAAGGATCTATCCTTTTCTCTTTTGTTTTTAAACCGTCCGCTAAATTAATAATTATTTTTCTTCCTTTTTCCGCGTCGCGTCGTTTTGCAAATACTTTTGTGTTCGTTTTGTAATTGATCGTCCCGTAATACCGTAATAAAAGGCCGATCGCGAACGCGTAGTGCAAGTGGCAGTTTTCTCACCTCTTCTTTGACTTCCAGATTTCTAGACGACACCAGCGATTAAGCAAACGAATTCAAAGTATTATCAGATACTATTTTTACATCGATCCTGGTAAGTTGTCCATTTCATTTTTATCCAATACGACGAATCTGGATGTAGTGAGGCAAAACGGGCGATCTACGAAACCGCGTATTCTGGAAAATTTCCCTCTAGATCGTTCCGTTCAGTACAGCGACTCAAGGTATCGAATATTAACATTATCGAATACATTCCGATTCACACGCAAAGAAGACGGCCCCACGAAACCGTGGCTCTGGTAATATACCCTCTGGGACCGTTCTTTTTTTCTTTTCGCGCTTAATTCTTCGCTGAACATCGTTGCTCGAATCATCGAATTATTTAATCAAACTTTAATTAACCAGTAATCAATAGCTTCATTTTCATATAATTTATACTTTTCTTTATAATATATTTATTTTCTCTTGTATTTCAAACAGCTCGTACTTCCTATTAACTCACCACCTTATTGTCACGCTTATTTTTCCGAAATTATATTTTTGTTACACCTAACCAGTTTTAATTCATTTACGTTTCAAACACTTCCTTTCCTTCATTTTCACGCCTACCATCTTCGCACAAATTCACACGAGGGGCCCGTATGGGACTAGAGCATTGACGAACCCGATTAATCTCTAAATTAATCTATTAACTTATCTAACAACTCTTTTATTGTTCTAATCGTGAGTGATCCAACATCGTCACGAGCGATTAGGACTGGTGGCAGCGCTAATACCGTTCTCAACCGCGTATCAACCACATCATTAATTTTCTTTTTTTTTTATTTTGTACGTCGCGCGCCGTATCTCGCTCGCGACGTAACATTAGTATACTAAGTTTTATTAATAGTTGTTGGGTATTTGTATAAATGAAGTAGAAGTTATTTCATACTTTTTAGTGTATTTCGAAGTCGGTTGTATTTTTTGTTAAAAATGATTTTATTTCACACTTTTTAGTGGAACGAGCAGTATTTATAAGATGCCGTAAGGTGGTTTACCGTTCTTATTGGTTAATTGCAATAACGATAGTTATTAACGATAACAAGTTCCATACAAGTTATGACAATAGTTATTAACAATAACAAATGGCATTAATTTTTGCAAGTGAGATATCGCGGAAATATCTCCTATTAGATGTGAAAGGTTTCATCGCAATTGGTACATGCCTTGGGGAGTATACATGTATACAAGAAACAGTAGTGAATCAGCGATTGCATACTGACTCATGCACCGGTAGACACGTAGGCATACGTAGAATTCAATGCAGTAGTAACAATAGTTTTTCACGAATATCTCGGAAACTAAAGCTTTCCGTTAATTATGCATAATGAAAAAGTTCGTCAGAATCATGTCCCCGATAACATATTAAAAGGTCATTGAAATCGTCCAATTTTGACATTAAACACTTCCTGTATTTTGCAATAACAATGAAAAAATGAAAAATTGTTTTTCAATGGGACCAATCGGAGAACATACCCTACGAGATGCAAAAAGTTTCGTTCCGATTGGTCCATCCATCTCGGAGTAATCGGTGAACACAAAAAAAAAA